ATCTGAACCTGAGAAAAAACTTCTTCACTGTGAGGGTGACAGAGCATTGGAACAGGTTGCCCAGAGAGGTAGTGGAGTCTCCTTCCCTGGAGATATTCAAAATCCGTGTGGATGTGATCCTGGGCAATATGCTCTAGAGGAGCCTGCTGGAGCAGGGAGGTTGGACTAGATGATCTCCAGAGGTCCCATCCAACCTAAACGATTCTGTGATTCTGTAAATTCATCTTTTCATTTTGTAGCAGAATTGCATAACTATAGCCATTTGCTATACCTAGGGTCACACCAAAAATTCACAATTCAGTTATGAAATTACACCTGACTCAAAGATGGCTACAGTTGGAAGGAAACTGTTTCAGATAAGATGCAGAAAAGCTTTAGGAAAGCTGTAGGGATCAACTTCTAATTCTCTAGTCCTTGCTCTTGCGAGTTTTTGGAAGTACCTGCAAGAGGAAGGGTTCCAACGTCCGTCAAAACCTAATAGCTGGTAATTCTTTTGAATTATTTGGTGCCCTACTGAAAATTAATATGTGCATTCTATGCGTTAGTCAAGCAAGTGACCAAATGATTAGGATAATTTTTAGATTTTTGTTTTAAATGACCAGTACTCAAGAGTTTTTTCCCCCTCTATGTAAGATAGATAAGGGTCCACCTAATACATTCTTACTTTGTTAGCAAGGTTATCAATATTATGCTACACTGAAGTATCATTACAGAGGAATCCATTCTTCAAAGGGAGAAAGACGATGGGACAAAACTGCTTTGTACTCCAAGAGAAAAAGTGAAAGTCTAAACCGTATCAGCAATAATATTATTTTGAGCAGTAATAGTAAATCCAGAGACAGAATGGAATGAGAGCAAAAGTATGGGGGAATAATACAAATTTCAGGTAATTGCTTCCTTTGTGTCAACATATAAACCATGTGTTTAGGGCTGGGACCACAACGACTATGTCAGTAGTTAATTCACTTGTGCCTATTTTGCAAGTCAGAAACAAAAGGGAAAAGATGAAAAGAAAGTAAATTGCATTCAGAATCTGATTTTGTGGGCAGTAACAGCACAGTATCTGGGAAATTAAGGTATTATTTCACTTTAACAAATTTCATTTGTGTAGTTAAAGTATAATTGAATCAGGAAATTTCAGAAGGATGTAACATTTCAACTAATTGTTCCATATGCTTCTTGCAAAAAAAGAGAATTTAAATCCAGGTTAGTGATATTCAGGGAGATCATTTATGAATATATGAATTTTGGGAAGATGCAGGAGAGTGTGTCCCCTGACCTGACATAAATATTTCTTTTGTATCTGAAAACAGATGCAACAGGGCAAATATGTTTTATCCGATGTCTCATTTTTGAGGAGCTGTTTTACTGGATACACAGAAACCATGATGGGTTATTAAAATAAACTCCAACAGCTATATGGGCCATTACTAGTGTGTCTATCTATCTGTACATTGCAAGGATATATAACAAGGTTTTCTAGCAAGTTCTTGTTACTTTGTCATCACTCAACATTAGAAAGAAAGCCAAAAAAATCATTTTTTTTTTTTACATAAATTAATTTATTGTTTCTCTGAAGACACAAAAGCTGTTACTTCAATTGCAGGCAAACAATCCTGTTTTATTGTCCCGATAAGAAGAAATTAAAACATCACAGTCAATGGCTTTCAGATAGAAAGATTCAAAATCTGGTCTCATATACTTGTGTAGAAGTTTCCTTGACACCAAGATCAACTGCACATAAATATCAGAAGAAATTTTAAAAGTAAGACATAGCATAGAGCATAGTTTTAAAAAATGCTGTTTATGAGCTTTCTGTAGAAACATTTTTATGTATTGAGAAGATATAAGAGATTTGGGAGATTAAAGAAGATCTAACAGACTTAATATTTTTGCAAGTGCTACACTAATAAAAATCAAAAGTTGATCTGATATGAATAAGCCAATGCTAAAACATTTTTAACTAGACTCAATGCTTTCTGCTAACATGAACTTCACTAAACTTTAACTAAAAATGAAGCTGCTCAATACTAAGTAAGATATGCTTCTAATAAATTGAAATACTAATTATCAATGGGAATTCAACAACTCTTTGATCCTTTCTAAATTAATACAAAGGATTAGATTCTGCCCTCAGTTTCACTCCTGAATCCTCACTGAATTGTACGGGTAATAACAGCATAATTTGGCCAATATTGCCCATTTCATTAGTGGAACACTTTTTTCCTAGTAAAGGTGAGAAGTGAAATGGTGAAGGAAAACTGGAAAGTGCCTGTTTTGGCCATTTGTAACCCTGCTTTTTTCATCCTTTGACATATTCCTTATGAATGTTGCTGTAAACACATATGTGGCAAGGTCTCCCAGAGGAACTCCCTCTGCCACCAATTGAAGAGTTAGAGGAAGACAGAGAATCCAAGAAACTTCATTTGCAGGAGCTTTAGCTACCAGGACACCTCTGACCACTCAATCTCCTGTATGTAGGACAATGAATAATTACCCTGATGGTGAATATAACGTAGCAGATCTTTACTCACGCACTCTGAATGTGGGGTTAATCTCAATGGCACTTGTGTTACGCTGCTTAGGGAGCATGCTAAACTGTTAAAGTTGACATGGTGAAGGACAGGGAAAGATGATTTAGATGTTCCTGTCTGCCAGCGATTCTTTGCTTGCATCCTATAGGTCAGCTGGACTGTTTCCCCAGAAAGTAACAGGGCTAAACAGACTTAAACAGAGCTTAAAGTCTCCATCCACTCAGAGACACAGTAAACACTCAGGTGACTTAACCTGGATTGTTAGTAGCAGGGAAAACATAAAAAATACGAGTCACCAGCAAAGCCTCTCTCCACATGCAACGGAATTCCTAATGGGTGAAATCACTATTATGTAGACTAAGATGTAGAAAGCCAAAATCCACACAGACATCACAGCACCAAAGCTGAAATGTGTCATCCTGAGAAGTAAAACAGTCAAAGCAGCAAAAGAAAGGCATCCCCCTGCCCCAGCAATCCAACAGCTGTTATACAAAATACAAGGTAACATGATACCAGCAGTGCTCTATGGCTGGATGGGTGAAGCAACAGCAGCAGGGAAACAAGAAAATACCAATGAGCAACAGCAAAACATGGCAAAGATTGCAAATACAGAAATGACAACAAGGTATCTCTTCTTCACACACAAAAGCTGAGTATGCCTGGCTGTTATCTCCAGAATACAAATCTTAGATAACAAGCTGTGAGCAAGAGCTGGTGGTTTGTTAAAGGGGAATTCATTCTTCAGATGTTCATGATGGAGGTGGGGTATCTGAGGAAGATCACTACTAAAGATACTGTAGGGACAGGCACTTCACCTCATGTCTATGTACTGTTGATCCACTGTTAAACTACTTTCCTAAACTACTGGTTCATTTTTCTGCCTTTACTACATTTCCTTTGAAGTTATTTCCTTATTTGAAATATTGAAACTGAGCCCACTTTTCTTCCAAGATCATATGGCAGAGAAGTGACGTTATTACAAATACATTAGCATTTGTGATAAAGAATCACATATATCCCACATTTCCATGTTAAGGTTAGTACTTTTATACAGTATTTTTTCTGCTTTAAAAATGCAGTGATCTGTCATGTTTCACCACTCAATTTCAGACTCAGAAACACAGATCTGGATCCAGATGAAAAGCAGTAGAGGATAAAAGCTAACTATGCTTTGGGATGCAGGGATTTTCTCACTCTGGTTCAGCA